TCTCCAGGAAAGAAAAGACAAAGAGCTGAAGATGTTGTCAAGAACATGCAACGTACTCTCGTCAAAAGAAGGAAGATGGTGATTCGAAATGAATCATCTGATGAGGAAATAGTACCAGAAACTCCACCAGTGCCATCTACGGTAAATGTTTCATTACCTATCATTCATACTTCGCAAATCTCTACTACCTTACCACTCACCAAACCACTCGAAATAGTCACTACCAAATCAGTTTCTGAGGAGGTACCTATTTCTGATACGGTTGTCAATGTATCTGATACGGGGGCACCTATCCTGAGTGTTGCAACCACAATCCCAATCTCTTTACCTATTTCATTACCAATTGTTTCAATTCCAGTTACAACTTTATCCACCACCTCATAAATTTTTGATCATGCTCTTCAAAACCCATTTACAACACTTTTTCCATCTCAATCACCCGAAAATCCTCAACCTTCGCAACCTTTATCTAATAATGAAGTTGAAGGAGGTGCCTTTGGAGGGATAATTGAAGATATTCATTTTGATTCTGAGGAGGAGGATATTCCTGATCATATGCTTATGATAGGAAAACAATTTAAAATCCTGAATCAGAAATTGAATGCTATTATTCAGTTGCAAGCTGATTCCGGCAGGATGTCTTCTATATCAGCAATGGAGATTGATATAATGATCAAAGGTGTTGAGAAGCGTATTATGGAGAAGGTTGATCAATCCGACAAGAATAATGAGCTTCGCATTCAAGCACAAGGGAGCAATTTTTCTTCAGAGGTCAAGGATTTGAAATCTGTTGCAAAAGAACGTCATGTTCTTTTTGTACAAGATGTGAAGAAAGTTCGGGAGGATGTCAACTATAAGCTTCAAGAGTTGAAATCTGAACTTGCGAAGGGGCTTTAGGATATTCATACTCAAAATGCTGAAGTTCAAAAGCAGATTGCGGAGGTTTCTTCAAGAGTACAAAAGTTTGTTGATGTTCCTATTCTTGAAGCCCATAACGAAGAAACAAAGGAGAAGCTTGATCAGCTAACCAAGTTGGTGTCTGAGCTTAAAATGGTGGTTTCACAATCGTCAACTACACAAATTCCCACTCCTGAGTTTTTGTCTCTAAAGATTAATACTTTAGAACAAGCAATTCAGAAAGCTCTTGCTCCACTTGCCAATTTTACTTCTTTTCTACCAAGGAGTGCCCCACCTGCTTTCACAGGGGTGCAAGGGGGAGAGAAGAGTTTAAGTAAAGAAGAGGATGCGAAGACAGTTGGAAAAGTTATATCTACTCAGCTTATAACTACTCTTCCCATACTTACGAAGTCAATTTCCTCAACCACAGTAATCGTTATTGGAGAAAAATAAGGAGGTTCAAGTTCAAAACCTCAAAAAAATATGGTGGGAAAAGGAGAAGGGATTTTATATGAAAAATCAAAGGAGGAGAAGAAAGCTGAGGCTGAAGCAGAGTTGGAAAGGATGAGGCAAGTACAAAGCATTATGAGGCAGAGGGCAAGTGATCCTCCCACGATGAACAAAGGAGATCCTGCGAAGCTTTACTCTTACGAAACTATAGAGTCAAAAGTTGTCGGGAGGGAAATGTATGAATTCGAGAAGAAGCCAAAGAGAAGTTATGATATTGCGAATTCAGACAATTGTCAGCTGGATTTTCCTATAAATGAAATGCTATTCATCACTGCTCAGTACAAGATTAGTGAGAAGTGTGATAATCCTGATGATTATATACACATGAAAATCAGATTTCATGCTGTCTTGGGGAAGAATCCAGATGAAGTTTGATCTTTAATGAAGATCAAAAAGGTGCTGACAATCAAGAAAGATGTATTGTTTGAAGACATGCTTCAAAATTTTCGTTATTTTGTTATCCGAGCAGACAACAAGCAGTATGACTTCACGGTAGCTGATTTTCCTTTGATGAACTGCAATGATTTAATTCAAGTGGCTCTGATTTTGAAGCATATGGAAGAAAATAATCTCAAAGGCTTTGAGATTGAACTGTTCAAGATAGGTTTCGCACATGTGAAGACATTCATCGACAACTACTTCGATTGTTTAGCCCTTAGAGATGAAGAACTGGCTAATATGTTGGGAAGAGAAGTGAACGTTCCTTGGGAAGAAACTTTATCTCAATCAACATTATCGAAATATGTTGTTGGGGAAATATGCCTGAAACTGTTCGGCATGGTGTTTTCTGGATGAGATACAAAAGGGAAACCTAAGAAGTTCCTGTTTGAAGCCTCAGAGATTGAAAGATATAATTCTTCGCAATATACGCACTTTATTGTTCGTATGAACAATTGCAAGAAGAACAATGAAGGAGACAAGAAAGATCTGAAGAAGGTGATCTCTTGGTATGGAGAAGTGCGAAAGACATCCACTCAGCTGTTCAAAAGCTTATGGAATGAATAGCTTCGACTGTTTACAAAGGGGGAGAATGTAGATGTAAAATTGTAAAAGTCGAATATAGTGTTTTGTATAGTTTCGCATTTTATGTTATTTTACTAAGTCATTTTTTTTGCGAAGTGAAATGTCTAGACTTAGTATATTTTTTTTACACTCATGTTCCCTATAAATAGGGACTGAGGTTAGAAGTAGAGAGAGACTTTTTTGTAACAGATATCACTTGTCTGCTTATTTTGTAATCAGTCTTTATCAATATGAGATCTGATTAATATTTACTCTTCGTGTTCTAAATCTTCAATTACTCAACTCAAACTTTTCTTTCTCAAACTAAGGCTCTGATACCAACTTTTAATGTCCCATAAATTAAGACAAAAAAATTTGATTTTTAAATTAATAAAACCATTATCCAAGACAGCATCATCAAAACCATAGTGAATCAAAGTGTATCAATAACATCGAAATATATCATAGTAATATAAAATGCGGAGCGATGTGGTGTGTGCACTGAAATCGTCTCGAGCTCTTCCCATTTGAACCAGAAGTATCTGAAACATAAACTGAAAACCGTAACCACAAAGCATAGTGAGTTCCCCAAAATACCACATACTAAAAAAACATATTGCCAAACATATCTGGGTGCTGGCCTACCCCTTTAGTATATTTCAACCAGATACTATCAAGCATATCTGGGTGCTTGCCTACCCATTCGGTCTATTTCAACCTGATACTATCAAGCATATCTGGGTGGTTGCGTACCCCTTCAGTCTATTTCAATCGGATACTATCAAGCATATTTGGGTTCTTGCAATCCCTTTCGATCTATTTCAACGGGATATCGGGTCTATTTCACCCCTACTATTTCCACAGAATATCATAACAGGAATCACAGAGTCATCAAGCAAACACAAGCATAACCAATAGTTATCATGAAGTCAACCATCATACTACAATATAAACTACTGGGCCGACATTGGTGCCTTCGACCCACGGATTCCGTGAATGAAACTCACCTCACAGTCTGAAAGAATAGTTGCACAGATCACTGTTCTAAAAGCTATCTCTACCGGTCACCTATATAATTAATAATAACCCAATTCTCAAACAATAATCAAATTAACCAAAATGCCCTTAGGTCAAACTTAGTCAACCCCGGTTAGAGTTAAAGTCAACGTTCAAGGTCCAAAAGTCAATATTTCTTCCCAGTGGAGTACGCCCTGCGTACCAAGAAAGTACGCCCAACATACTCTGATGTTGACCAAAACAGGGCGCTGACTGTGTACGCGCAACGTACCACAAGGTACTCCCAGCGTAAGCAGCCCTATCCCAAAACTATATTAACATCTTATTCCATTAATCCCTTATGTCCAAAACTCAGACCCAAGCCCAAAATAACATTGTAAGTCATAAAGTTTCCAACTTTATGGCTTTGCATTGTTATAAAGTGTATAATGTCCAAAACCCTAAGTTCTTAACCCAATAAGACATCACAACTCTTGTATGGAAGGGATAGAAGCGCCAAGATTACATTTTTGTGGTTCATAATAGCTTTATAATGGATAAAGTTTCTAATTTTATCCGTTAGAATGGTTCTAACAAATAAGATCTAGTATTTAAGTCTCAAACGGACCTAAAAGTGCATCTTTTTCAACTTAATCCATTAAGTCCAGGTCTCCAACCTTCATATCTGAATCAAAATGATGTTTAGATGGATAAAGTTTCCAAATTTATCCAAAAAAAGGCCAAAAAACTTTCAAGATCTAAGCTTTATGCACTTAAAGTGACCAAAGGCTCATAACACCCAAAACTAGCTAGATCTAACAATTTCATCATCGAGATTTTAGTTTAAACCTCTAGAAGAAGATTAAGGTAAAAAAATTCTGGATCTACAAGCTCCAATGCAACCAAAACTTCTTTAATGAGTTCCTTCTTCTCCAAGGTTCACCAAGAACACTCCATAACACTTAAAAAGACGTTATTTTTGCTCAAGAGGCTCAATCTAGGGTTAGGGTTTCAAGAGAGGGTGTTGGAGAGGTGGAGGCTGAGAATGCAATGGGTTTGGGGGAGTTTGTTATAATACAATGATCGATAGATTCTATATTATAAGATGAATTAATGATTTACAACGATAATGATTGAAAAGATATTAAACTTCATTCAGTTAACATTGGAACAATTTGTATACAAGAGCAGAACTATTATGTCAATGTTAGGATGGCATCTACAGAAAAAGACAACAATAGTACACTATTTATAGATGAAAAGGATAACGATTCTGAAAACAAACATGCCCATTTCGGAATCGGAACAAGAATAAATTCCAAAGATAGCTATTTTGACACAACACAAATAACGAATTAATAATCCCCCCCTTTGTGTCAAATCAGAATGAAGTAGTCTTATTGCTTATGGTGATCAGAAATATTCGGCGTAATCTTCAAAATGGATGCCCTGACAGAAAGATACCAACGGATAATATCGGAAACACACTTGACGTCGGCACCAGAGTTGGACTTGTTTGCTTCGGCCCTAGACATGATTGAGTTTAGAGCACTTGTAGGGTATAATTTATTAACCCTCAGAATGAACTAATAGTTCTAAATCTCTTCACCTCCCTTCTTCTTGTAAACAATTTTCCAGTATTCTTTGTCAATCAATCCTCCCCTTAGATTTGCAATGTTTTGGGGTTGATCAAAAGGCTTTAATATAGGTTTCCTTTTCAGAACTGAAGCAATTTCTACATTCATCTTCGCTAGCTCCATGATGTTACATTTGATCATCTTCATTAAATGTTCATAGTTTGGTTCGTACTTCTTCAAATCCTTTGCAACAATGTGGAATAATGAAATCCAATCATAGAGGTTCACAAACGGTAATTCAACCAATGTGAACTCATGAAGAATATGATTGTGACCTCGAAATCCTTTGAATTGAATGTTCAAAAAGTCTTTTGTTTGAAAAGGTAGACCAGTCTTCATACCCACGATTCTCTTCAGACGCCATGAATCATATTGAGGTTTCGCATGTTTCAAGTAGAACGAGAAGAGCTTTCGGTTTACTACATTGTTGGAGATTATAGATTTTTCTATCTTCTCAAAGCATCTGAAGATAAAAGCTCTTGGAGTGATAGGGAAATCGATCTAACACTCCACATCGTTATTGATGTTAAAAGAGGTTTTTGGTTCCAACCAAAAAGTATTTGGCCCATAGATAGCTTCCTTATGCATACGCTCAAAAGTCCAGGCCGGAAATAAAGCTTTCTTGTTCTCAAGAATCATTTCAGAATTCTTGGCTTCGGCGTCTTCAGCATCCCGCTTTTCCCTTAGGACATGGAGCTCATCAAGTTCCTTGTCCCACTTTTATCTTGCAATTCTTTTTGTCTCAGTCAACATCGGATCTTCCTCGATAAATTTCTCGAAAATGATGTTGACTTTGCCCTTTCCTGATCCCGAAAAAAACATGATCCTCCCAAAGAAACACGATCCTTGATATTCTTGAATTTTTAGCAAGAGTTTTCTTTTCCAATGCGATCATATCAGCTTCTTTAGTTTTCAAGAAGCCCGTCTAATACCGATTGTTAAAGTTTACCTCATGTTCCCCCTTTGTTGCGGAGAACGCTTTCTTCTCATAACATTATGGATTTCATTAAGCTTCTCAAACACCGGCTTAAGCTTCTCACTAAGAATCTGACCAACAACTTTGGACTCGACGATACGCATCAATATTTGGTTTATTTCAAAGTTGTGCGCTTTAACCAAAATCTTTTCTTCTTCAAGATTCGCAATATTGATCAACTCATTCTTCAATTTTTCTTATAACACCTTTGTTTTCTATGTTCGTTCTGCCAATGCATCCATCATATTATTCTCAACTGCCAAATCATACTATAATAGGAGAATTCTTTCGGAGAATGATGTATGAAGATCAACATTGTCAAGTTGAATTTCGAATTAGAGGCTTGAGAGAGCTTTTTTTCAGCTTGTAAACAAGTCTGAAAACCTTCAATTAACTTATTTACATCAGGAACATTTTTATCGGAAGAAGTTCTTAAGTCAGTTATGAACTCTTGGACTTCTTGTATCGATTTATTGACCTTCTCCATAGCTTCTGTAATTTTTTTCGAAGCTTGAGTAGTCTTCGTTGTTTCTTCAAGAACCTTATCATTTGTTAATGCTAGCATTTCCACCATTTCCATATGAGTCGGCAACAAATTCTCCCATTTTGTGGAAGAAAAAGCACTTGAATGCTCAAGAATAGAGTCAAGCTTTTCACTCAGCTGCTTGAATTGACCTTTAGTCATGGGGGCGTCGTCATCTTCACTATCAATTTTGACAGTAAAAGGTTCAAAGACAAAGTCATCAATGGGTTTTTGATCGTCCCCAAACAGTATATCAACATCCTCATGTAAAGGTGGAACATGAGAAGAAGTTGGTTCCAATGACATACCAATATTGGCATTTGGCCCCACATCATATGGGTTACCAAGGATACATGATGTCCTAATCGCCTCCAAAACAGATTTGATAATAGGAACCTTTGGTGGATTTGTGACAGCTGAAGTAGAAGGAATGGTTGATTCAGAGAAAATTGGAGTTGAAAGTGGGATTGAAATTTGAGGCATACATGTTTCAATAGAACTCATCTTTGGTAGTAGAGGAATGGATGGTATCGAAATAGATGCGGTAGGAGGTGAGGTTGTCATGGATAATTTTGGTGGATTAAATGGAGGTGGAGGAGGAGTGGTGAGATTCAGAAATGGTTCCTTCATTATGGTTTCAAAAATGTCTGATTCTGGAATGAAAGATGATTGAGGAGAAGATACCTTGATAGATGTTTCAAGAGCGGGTGGTTCGGAAGTATGAGTTGTATCTTCTTCATCGTTTTGGAAAACATCACCCCCCCTAAAATTATGTGTCAGTTCTCTCTCCTTAGTCATCTTCTATCATCAGAGATGGAGATATTGGCTTCTGAACTCGTTTCTTGACTTTCTTAGAAACGTTTTCTCCTATGGAAGGAGCAGCTTTTAGTTTTTGTTTACCACCTCATTTAGGTAAGTCACCAGTGTCAATAATCTTCTTCAAGTTAGCAGGGATCGGACGAACACCAGATGAGGGAAATTTCTAATAAGCCCTAATTATAGCATTGTTCACAGGGATCTTGTCTAACATAACATCCAGAATGGATCCAACGAATTCAAATTTGTGACAACTGTCAATTTTGGTCAACAAAAGTCAACCATGCCAACTTAAATCGTATTAGAATTTCAGGAGAAACATGATATTCCTTAATGTTTCTAATGTAATAACTTTTAGATCAACACTTGAACATGAAGTTTATCACTTGGATCTTCATAAGAACATTGAGAAAAGTATGTTTTATCAAATTTATTACATATAAAATTGTATATCTGGGAATTATACACTTAAAATAGCAAAAATGAGTGTTGTGCTCAAAGATCTATAACTTATACTCAAAAATCAGCTTTTGACAGGAAAGTTTTAGCCCAATCTCGAACTGTTTTGACCCTCTTAATGTAAGTATTTTTCAAAACTGGTTTACATGGATAATGTTCAGATTTATTCCTTTAAAATGAATACTCTCACGTTTTCATATGATTTTCTACAATTTTTGGCGAATTTTACAAAACTGCCTATCAAATTTGAAATAATTTCGGACCAGCCTGTGAAGTTGGGCAATTTCACACTTGTTAGAAGCCATTAAAAATTATGAGAAAGATTGTGAACAAAGTAGACAAAATTTCCAAAATTACAGAATTTACGAATCCAAATTTCGACTTACGATGGTTTTTCTACAAATTTTCAAAAAACTAGGTCAGAAAAGCCTAAAACCAGAAAAATATGTATTTCCACAAAAATCAAACCAAAAATGATATTTTTCACAAAAATGGGTTTAAAACATTATTTTTATCAGAAAGTAGTCATCAACACTAGTTTTTAACAAAATTGGAGATTGAAGTGTTATTCTTACAAAACTTGGGCCTTAATTCTAAATTTTTGGCTTATTGGGCCAAGAATGTCATTTTAACAAAAAGTGGGCTTTATATATCAATTTTGTAAATAATCAAGCTAAAATAAACAAAACAATAACAAACGGGTTAAAAACGATATTCATATCCTTAATGGGCCTGGAAATAATATACATGTTTAGTGGGCATTAGTGTCCTTTTACATGTATATTAGGCTTAGGATAAACATTCATATTCCTTTTGAGCCTAGAAATAATAGACACGTATAGTGGGCCTTAGTGGTCCACTTACATGTTTATTGGGCCTAGGAATGTGTTTTATATGTGTTCTTCTTCCTTTTGATATTTTAGTGAATACCTGAACCAAAACCAACGATAAACTAATAAACAGATTTATTTGATCATTTTCTAGGTTATTGGGCCTTAGTGGCCCATTTTTATGTGTGAGAGGTCATGTATACTATTTATATGTTTATTGGGCCTCATTGACCCATTAACATGTGCGACGGACCTTGGATACCATTTGTGTGCTATTTGGGCCTGTAAATACCTTACATGTGAAATGGGCCTTAGTTGTCCTTTCATATATATATATTTCGGGCCCCTGTTATATAATCTCATTCCATTTGGGTCTTGAAATGATTTACATGTTTAGCGATGCCTTAGTGGTTCACTTACATGGATCATTGGTCCTGGAATGAGTTTATACCTTTTCCTTCACGTAAATTCGATTAAGGATCTAGCGAGTTTTTGTCGGTTGGCACCTATTAAGTGTACGATCGTAGCCAGTAGTTATAATAGAGTCTCTTGGAGGGAGAATAGGGATTTGTGTATAGATCTAAACGTGGTTGACACCCCACACCTCAGCTGTTCGCTATAGTTAGACTAACTCAGTCTAAGGTGACGAAAACCTTATAATCAAAGTTAAAATCGGCATCCAATGACGCCAAGACAGGCGAAATTGTCATTATTTAGTATGGTTATGACGGCTCGCTTAGAGGAATTAACGTTATGAAGTTTACGGAAGACCATTTTTTCATAGGCAACATCGGGTTGTCTGGGAACATTCTCTTTACATACTCTTACATTCTCTCTACATTCTCTTTACCTTTTTAGTCAAATAAACAATAACATACATGCATTAATACAAGATCTAACACAAAAACACTAAACAGTTTTTAGAAAATATCGGATTTTCTGGTGATTTTCAAAGTTATACAAATCATTTTCACAAACATGCTTATGAACTCACCAACATTTTTATGTTGACCATTTTCAAAATAACTTGTATTCTCAGGAAACCGTTGAAGCAGGATGAACGAAACAAACTGATGGATATCGTGTTATATTTTGTTTCATCATACTCTTACTATTTTGGCATTTAATATTCAAATACAATACTCAATGTAAACAATGAATGTTTTTATATTACATGTGTGATGATGATGATGATGATGTTATGTTTCGATTATATTCACTGTAATGATATTTCAAGATGAATTCACGCACAAGCCCCCGGACGTTTCCGCCGTCTGGTTCGGCGGTGTGACAGATTGGTATCAGAGCATTGTTTATAGTGAACTAGCATATCCAATAATACAGGATATGCAACTATAAATACAATGGGACTAAACAACTCTGAACATAATAATTAAAATACATACCTATGTGTGCATTTTAGAATAATAACACAACAAGAACAGTAAAAGTCTTTGGAGGATTTGAACATCGCTATTAAACTCGGGCAGTTATGTAGTCGTATTGGGGGTGAATGTAGCCTGATCAACTACATTCATTCAAAATATGACCAACATGTGTTCGGGAGTGATTGTGATGGGCAATGAATCAAAAACTTACCATTTAATTATCCAAACAGCTTATAGAATCAAACCTAAACAAAATTAAATTACTATAGGAGTAATTGGTATGCTATTTGTTTCTAGTATTTATACCCGTTCGTGCAATACACTATAGACCAGTATCATTAGCCAGGAAACCCCTATCTCCTTAGTCAGGGAATAGCAGGGTGGCTCGACTCAGAGGAAGAACCAGAGGAGAAACAGGAAGTAGAGCTTGCAGATGGACCCGCCGAGTCAATAGTGGACCATGAAGAGGAAGAGCCGAGAGCAATGATGATGATGACTCGGATGCAGAATCCGATGTCATCAATCCTCCATGTAGGGCCAGAGTAACGACTTATCGTGTGGGCCCGGTGGCCCTATGCCCCATGGGCACACGATATTTGGAGATAGAGTCATCAGCAGGGGATACGACCACACTACGGTAGGAACCGAGGTCTCTTCGATCTTAGTCATAGAGGACCGGCTGACCGGGCCCTCCCAGTCATGGTCCGGCGTACTCGAGACGTTGGCAACCCAACTCAGGACACCCACAAGAAAATGGACCAAATGCGGTTTGTTATTGAGAGAGATGAGAGACAAACACAGGAAATGAACGGAGACTCCCGAGCGAGAAACTTAGTTTGGGAGGTACGACTACTAGATACCGAGCGACAAGTAGTTCGTCTCCGTGGTGCATCCACTTCATCAGCACCACCACCAGACACTTTCCGCCACAATTAGGATCAACCTTTTCTTTTCCCCCTACTATCTGATATGACCCTCTTTCGTGTACTAATGAAAGGATTATGTGCTATCTTTATTTCAAATTATTGCATAAATTCAATTATATACACAATCAAACCCTCGAAACCGCTAGATACTTAAGGATCTCGAAACCAAAACAACCCATATACTCTAAGGATAGATGTAATAATTGTGCCAAATCCTGCGATTACCTACTACCTTAAATACATCATAGGGATGTAGATGGAAACAATGAGAATCATACGACGAGACGTGAAATTTATAACCAGGAATGACGATCATTACTTATGATCTGGCTTATCAACGTGGAGCAGGGAAATGCCATCCCGCAGGAATAAGAAGCGCACCCGCGAGAAACCGCTCCTGTAGATGGACTCTTCTACATTCCAAGCTGCCGTAACAGCGGCAGTAACCGCTGCTATGGCACAGATCAATGCAAACAACACCAATGGAGGCGGGAATAACATTGACAACTCCAGCCGAAGGAATCAACACGGAAACCAACAAGTGACTGCTTATCAAGGAACACTAAACCCCAAGCTTAAGAGTAGGAAGCAAAATCCTGGAAGTAAGAGAAAGGGACAACCAACTCAAAGGTTCTCAGAAAAGCAACATGTTGTTGCTGTTCATGCAACCATGACCCCTATCACACCAACATCAACGAGACCATATGTTGGAAGCCTTCCAAAATGCAACCATTGCAATTTCCATCATAAAGGAGCTTGCCGGGAGATGTATTGTAAGAAGTGCAACTGAAAGAATCACACCGCCAAATACTGTAAAACTTATCCATGTCAGAACCGCCAGCCAAACGAAAACAACAACAACAATCGCAAAAACCTTAACAACAACACCAATAATGAGACCAGTCACACCTGCTATGGGTATGGAGGAACCAGTCACTTCAAGCGCAATTTCCCCAAGGATAACAATCAAGGAGCAGAAGGATCAGAAATGTTCCTGACCTGGGGTCAAGGCGAAGCAGTCCAAGACCCGACGGTTGTTACTGGTACGTTCCCACTTAGCAACTTTTTTGCTTACCTCTTACCCAGTAGTAAAGCTGAGTGAAGCTTTGTTAGTAACATATTCAAACACTTACTAAAACACAACCCCGAAGGCTAAACTAAGCCTTAACGGTGGAGATAACTAAGGGGAAAACTGAATCAACCAAAGATAATTATGTAGGGAACACCTTAACACTAAAAAACCATTCATTTCAAATAAAAATTTAATGCCAGTAAATATTAGGAGTTTTGATGTGATAATCGGCATGGTTGGCTTAAGCCCCCACCGTGCTGACATTATGTGTCGCGAGAAGGCCGTTTGCCTTCACCTTCCCAATCAC